GACTCTCTGGCCAATAAATCAGAAATTTAGAAGCATTTCAATATAAATCAGTGAAATGCTAAATCACGTAAATTCAAGTGTTTTAGGTCAGCCAATCACAGCTGAATTTTGCCAGTTTTCAAAAAGTAAATTAATTGTGCAGGGGACCCACTGACCCTTTTAAATTGCAAAGAGATTTTCAAAACAATGTCTAGCCTAACAGCTCATCTAAGGTTATTTGTTAAAGCACAAATTGAGCATCAATGGTCTGTGATGGGTATACCAACCTGACATGTGGCAACAAGAAGTTAAGGAATGCTCTGGACTGTGTCAGCTCTGCCCCACTGCACTTGTAAGAGATGCATAGAAAGCTGGAGGAGAAGATAAAAGGGAGCAGTATAGTTCACTTGAAAGCCGAGGCATAGCCATGGAGGGCCTGAGTGGGCTGTGACCACCTCTCTTAGCATCCAGGGCCACCCAAATCACTGCTGGAGCCCACTGCATCAACAGACTGGGACTCCCAAACCCAGCTTGATGTCCATCAGCCAAGCAGTGTCCCTGCCAGGACTGTGCACTGCTGCTCCAGTCTCTACCCCCAGTGCTAGCCTTATGGTGGTATCCTTCATGGGGACGGGTGTGGGTGGGGCTAGCCCTGGGGCCAGAGACTGGAGCAGAAAAATATGGCACTTAACAGGATGGGGGGGACACATCCTGGCTGAAGACACCAAGCTGGGTTTGGGCGGGGTGGCAGGAACTTGAGCCCCTGCACTGCCCCTCCCTGTGTATGCCTACCACAACTGTGTCCTGCGTGCTTGCAGAGTAGTAAGTGGCGTGAGGGGATATGGGCCCCTCATCTCTCTTGCCCCCTCCCCAGGGCACCAGGTCTCTCCTGCCTGCTTAACATCCTACACTCCTCCCTGGTGCCTTCCCCACATGGTTGCCCACTCCCCCAAAAACTGGATGCCACCCAGTTTTCCTGACCTAGCTATGCCACTCTTTGCAGGTAAACAAGGGAAGAGAAAGGACCTCTGCCTTGCAGCTTCTGAGGAAAGGGTTGAGGGAAGGGAGCACCTGTTTCCATTATTCTTGCGTGGGAGGCATTTCCTCCTTTTGCATACTGACTGTGTTTGTGTTACTTTCCTTTGTGTTGTGTATGGACTATCTGGAAAGGGGATAGGCTTAGAACAGATCTGGCCACCCCAAGAGGGAGAAAGCTACCACAGCACCCCCAGCTGAGAAGAGGCACCAAACGATGATTTGATTCCGCCTTTCCACCTTCCTCTTACAGGCTGTAAACTTGGATGCTAGAGGAGTGGTAGGGAGTAACCCAGGGAGGGCAGCCTTAAGGTACTCCCTGAGCATCTGTCCCTTTGGTCTCCCTCACAGAACCCTCAGATGGAGCCTGGTGGAAGGGGAGGACCTTGGCTCCCCTGCCATAACCCCCCTCTGCACATCCAAGGGCCTAAAGCCCTGATGAGTAGGCAACATTCCTCACAAATGGGATGGTAACATGTTCCTTAAAATAAATGTGGGCTTTGTATTAGGAATAACTTTGTATATGTTAACTGTAATTCAGCATTCAAGTGCAGCATTCATGAATTACTGGATTGGCTCACTAGGCAAAGACGTGTTTTAATGTCCTCTCCTCCGCACTCCTAGAAGCTTATAATAGTTTATTTTTCAGGCCTTATTTAACCTTTCATCTAGAATCTCTTTTTAAGGGTATGTCTACACAATAGCACGTACCTTGAAATAAGCGATGCAAATTGAGTTATGCAAATTACATAGCTTATTTTGATATAGCTTATTTTGAAATTTGGCACTGTCTCCGCAGCACTAAATTTTCAAATAAATCGCTATTCGGGCATCTTCCTTAATCCTTGTGCAACAAGGTTTACAGGAAGCCAGAATAAGAAGCCCATTATTTTGAATGTATTTCAAAATAATGGGCACAGAATGCTATTTCAGAATAACAGACGTTATCCCAAAATAGTGCCACTGTAAAGGTGTACCTTCAATGAATTTAACCTCACATTACCTTGATAAAGGAAAAATTATGATTTGGAAAGCGGGGAACAGAGAATTAAAGATTTTGCCCAGTATCAAACAGAAATTGTGTCAGAGCTGGTCATAAAATCTAGGCATCCTGATTCCCAGTCCCACAGTGGAATTTTTAATTTTTTTTGGTGCTCTTTTCCAGTGGACATCTACAGAAAGTTCTCCTAAATATTTGTGCACTCTCAGTGGTGCTCTATAACTAGTGAGATCAAAGAGTTTGTTTTCACTGAGGGTATGTCTACACTACAGCGCTAATTCGAACTAACTTAGTTAGAACTAAGCTAATTCGAACTAACGCATCCAGACTGAAAAACTAGTTCGAATTAGCGTTTTGCTAATTCGAACTAGCATGTCCACATTAAGTGGACCCTGAACCGGGGTTAAGGATGGCCGGAAGCAGTGCCGGCAGGGCATCAGATGAGGACTTAGAGCGTGGAGCTACTGCCTCAGGCTAGCCGAGGGCTGTGCTT